ATCCAGAGCAGTGTGTCTTTGCCCGGTTGAGTAGGCTGTTCCCACTCCGAATCAGACAACTAGCCCGACGGTGAGCTGCTGTTGGGGGGTGAAGTAGAATGTGAGATCAATGGCTCAGCATACTTTACTCACTATAAAATATCTGGCGCAGTTGAAGCTATCACGATGCAGTATAAGTCGTGGCTTGGAAGATTGCCAACTGACCAGATAAACCGGATCGCATGGTTAGCCCAGTGTGTGTTTATGTGGAGTGGCTGACTGGCGTACTGAAAGTCAGGATGCAGTGGCTCCTTAATGTGGCATCCCCATGCAGCTGAGATCTGAGTCCGATATGGCGGTAGGCTTAGGCGCAGACCCGGCCGCCCCAGCAACCTGCGCCATTGCCCACCTCTGGTATTCTTGACTACGTCTTGACACCGGGCCCGCATAGGAAAGTGGAGGAGAAAGTGAAATAACTGCAGCGAAAGTCTCCTCTTATTACAGTTCAGTGCGAGTCACTGCCCCTGCACCGCTGTAATGTGGAGCACACTGTTGACCTCGTCAAAGACGGCCGTCGAACTGTTGAGTAGGCTATCTGTAGTACGCATATTGTCAGCGATAGTTGTTGATCTTGTAATGTAGGATAAATTCCGCACCAGCTCCCTTGCGGTAAATCGGTGTTTGGAATGTTCTACGGCATTTGGAAATGCAGTTTGCTGTCAACTTCCTTTTTGAGCGAGAAGATGATTCCTAGCAATTTTGAGTTGATAACCCTGTGCAGCGTTTCCAGTTGATTTTTTTGCCGATACTGAAGGTGTCATCTGCAAAGTGTACTAATCATAGCCTCGTGTATCGTAACCTAAATTAGAAAGCCAGAAAAAGGCGACCATATAGGAGCTCCTTTCAGCCATTGATAATATTATTGTGTCGGTACTTTTAAAGGTTTTAGTATAAACCTTATTTATTTCCCACTGAACAGTAGTATTTGCACCCGAAGCCATTTTATCATGGTCGGTACTAACCAGTTATATGCTTTTTAACCGCATTCCTATATATTACTAAAAATGTAACCTCGAGTATCAGTGAAGGCGGTTTTCGCTATTACTCCACATTCAACGCTTAAATGAGCAAATTATTAATTATTTCTAGTTATTTCCCCTACATACTCGATCCCTACAAGTAACTTTTGCCATATTTTCCAAAATTTATCCGATCATCCTCTTTTTCAGACTTTTGTCGCGTCTGTCGATGCGAGGGGACGCCCTCGAAGCCGCTTTTCTTCCCCTGTATGTGCACAGGGAGCATAAAATACGTTCACCAAGAATGGTAAGTCTTTATGCTCAGAATAGTAACCATCCTGCTGATTTTCACTGTTCACTTGCCAAAAATAGCCCAAAGTTGTCCGTTTTGATAGTAAATACTGAATTTTATACCAAAGCTGCTCCCATCAGAGTCAATGTCTGCTAATAGAATATAATTCATTACATTGACTCATATAGTAGTACGTTTGATTTAGGTTACTCGCGCAGTCTACTGCAACTCACGCCCACCCCCTCCAGTGGGACCTCGTAGCTCAGATGGCTAGGGTGTTGGTTGTACTGAAGCCAGACTGAAACTACTTCAATTGTCAGCCTAAGATGAAAAGCACGCTATGCATTCTGCTTGATGTCTTCCTTACCTTTGTTAGTAAAGCTTCCTGCTGCTGAGTTCCTATCGAAATACAATCGCGTTCAGTTTAAAGACAAGGTTTAAATGTCACACCGATTAGATGACTAGCTGGCACATCAATTAGTGACAGTTACTCTACCTAGGATACTTGTGCCGTTCTAATCTAGAAGATCTGCGACAGCCACAAACGCCACAAAAGCGGATTACCCATTAAACTACCTGCTGACTATCTGGCGCGTCCACAGGTGGCGGATAGTGGCACGGCCTTCAGTGAAGTTTAGCTGCGGAATAAGCAGGCTCCCGGGTGTAGCGAATATCCAGTCGCAGGCCAATAGCGACAGCGCTACCA